ACACACACACACACACACACACACACACACACACACACACACACACCTGTTTAACTTTGGTGTCAGTCTCATTTAAGATGGCCACCATAGCTAATCATTATTAGCCAACACCAAAAATTGCTGTAGCTCAGCCAATTTGACAGATCCCAAGTTAAAATTTTTGATGTGCACATTGATATTGTGGTTTAATATATGACTCTAGTGCGCCCAATAGAATATTTCAAGTTATATCTCGGTGAAATATCATCCAGTATGTACCAGATTTATTGTGCGTGATCAGTGAGCACTTAAGGCACATGAGAATTGTTCTAAAAGCTCTGATTATTCTCTTTAGAATGATTTGTTCAATTAGCTTTGTAGAGATCTAGTAGAGTGCTGTATGAATGGGTAAATGAGGTCACAGATTGTAGTGTAAAGCGCTTTGACTATCTCGATAAGATAGAAAGGCGCTATACAAGTACAGTCCATTTACTACTCTGCTACAATCTAGTGGCTGAAAATGGTAGTGTTCAATATTTTCAGTCCGAATGAATGAAAATGGTCATATCTCAGCCTAAAATTGGTTTATAAATATGGGAAAAAAATCCATAAATATGTTGCTTCGGCCTATAAGTCGCAGGGCATGTAAATTATGCAAAAAACTGCGGCTTATAGGTTGGAAAATATGGTAATTGATGACGGCAAAACAACATAAAACATCCAAGGAGTTGAACACTTTTTATAGGCACTGTACTCTGTCATCTATGGCATGAGGTTGTGCAGAACATTATTTTATAGGTTAGACCAGGGGTCTGCAACCTGCGGATCTGGAGCCACATGCAGCTCTTTGGTTCCTCTGCAGAGGCTCTTTCAAGCTTTGACCAAAACTGACATAAAACTGAATTTTATTGGTTATACAAACAACAAAAAAGGACTAGTTCAAACAGTTTACCTGTCATTTATTTTGCAAATATGTGAACACTGGAGCGAGTACAAAGAGTAAAACATATTTTAACTTAATGTTTTATTTCTTTATATGAAGAACAGTCTGCATAGTTTGTAGATTTTTTTTTAAATTAAAAAAAAAAAAGGTAAAAAAAATGATTCCCCCCAACCCCCCCCCAACCCCCCACCCCTTTTACAAGAATCTGTTCTTTTTCTGTAATAAATGTTAAAAATCATTAATTGTTTTTTTTGCTTTATAATGTCACCCCTACTGGCCACAAAAGCCCCTATAGCAAATCTAAAGTGTCTCATGGGACACCAGTTGATAACTAGAGTTGTAGCAGATTGTTGCAGCTCCAGACACGTTTAATGTAGTGAACGAAGGTGTAAAAATAGCTCTTTTGATCGTAAAGGTTGCAGACCCCTGGGTTAGACCAAAATGGCCACAATTTTTGTCATTTTCTTTTACTACGTAATTTTGATCTTGATCTAAAACTCTAGCATGAAAGGCGATGGACGATATGCATTCCTTCAAAGATAATCACTCATACTGTACTCATAACATACTCATAACATTACTTTATTTACATGAAACTTTGATTAGGCCTGTCTCAATAAACAATAACTCAATTAATCGCATGATAAATGAAAATTATCGATCTCATTTTCATTTATCGGCTTTATCGTTTCTTCGTGTCTCTCTTTTTACTGAAGACACTGGATGACAAAAGGCTCAACTCCGGTGCTTTTCACTGACCCCTTCCCTTTCTCTTTAAATTTGTTTTAACCATCCAAAACAGCGTTTTTGGATCGCTAAAAGCTGCTAAGCTGAGAAGCTAAGCTACAAGCTAAGCTAACAGGCCGACCTCAGGAAAAAACCTCAGTCTTGTCGAAGCTCCAAAATTCACAGTTGAAAACCGTGCCTTCATGTAAAAAGTTGTTTTTCTCTGTAAAAAGAAGCTGAGAACTTGTTTACTGATTTTTTAATTAAAAGCTTTGTGTGACAAATGCTATGCTAAAGAGCTCAAACCACACTGAGTGTCCACCATTTTGAGAAATGAAAAATGGGAAAGAGAGACAGCCCATGTCATGTCAAGGGGCCTCCCTCCCATTTTTCTTAGAGACACGCTGCTGCTCCCTCACTATCCATCCTTCGGTTCAAACAGTCTTATACTGCCATCCAATGGTCAAAAAAGGTACTACACACAAAACAAATTACCAACATTTCTTTTAAAATTTGACAATAATTACTAATTATTGTAAAATTTCAAACATTATCGTTTATCGCAATAATTTCTGAGACAATCGGCCAGCAAAATTTGTTATTGTGACAGGCCTAACTTTTATAGAAACACAAAAGCCCAAACAAAGACTAAATAATGGTTCTGATCTTCATGAGGACTGGGGCTGACCTTATGCACAGCTTTTCTGAGTATGTCTTTGTACTCGTCCTTGTTGATGTCTTTGCGTTGATAGTAGGGTTTGATTGCGAGCTTCACCTCCTCTACTGCACGCTCCTGTGTGTGCAGCTTCTTCAAATACTGAAGAAATTAGATTAGAGAAAAACAAGAATTGCAGTTCTTACAAAAACAAGACATGTACATGCTTAATTTTTTTTATTATGCATTACTAAACAAATGTATTTGAACAAATAAGGCTCATGAAAAATAAATAATTCTCTTTAAGGATTCTTTAAAACCATTTAATACCTTTTTATTATCTTTTTCACAGCAGGCTCAGAAATAAACCTGAGTTAGGGTATATTCAGTGCGTTAACCCTGAGTTTAGTGCAAACGCTGAGTATATTTAACTGACTGTGGCCCGCCTACAGCACTAATGACTTAGATTTGACTATAGAACCCAACAAGGTGCAAACCCTGAGAATAGGGAAACAATCAGTTAAATAATGATAATTTAGGAAAAATTCTAAGTAAATTAACTGTGAGTTTAGTGAAAATGCTCAGTAAGTTAACACTGAGTTTAGTGAAACTATCTAGGTTAATCTCAAGGTTAAGTAAAGTCTGAGTTAGAAAATCTTGAGTTTAGTGAAACTCTGACTAAGCAGAACATAAATCAGAGTATTAGTTAAGGGTTTCTGCAGAAATCAGCCAATCAAATAATACTTTTTAATGCCAGTTTAATGCCATCAACTGTAAACACAAACTTTACAAGTTGTTTAAAGTGACATTTTAATACATTTTTTTTTGTTTGTTTGTTTCTTTCTGTAAAATCCTTCACCATCTGGACCGTCAACAGTCTGCAGTCATGCTCTAAATTACATGTTTTCTAGACACTTTATCTGGAGTTTGCATTTACCCATCTTATCTCTGCTCCTAAAGTTTTCCTGTTTTTCTGAACGTGCAATCTTCTGTCAGTTGAGCCAGCCAGAAAGAATTAATAAGGGTTAATATTTCATCCTAATGAGCGAGTCTGGCTGAATGGTTCCAAAATCACTCCTCATTTTTCTTTAAAACAAATGAAAAATGTTCAATGCCACAGATTCAAATTTAATGCTTTTTAATGCCAGTTAAGATCTTAAATTTTGCTAATTCCATTTGATTTTAAATGCTTTTCAATGCCCCATGAAAACCCTGTATAAAAAGTTTAAACTGTTCTTAATAAATTTTCGTCAAACAACAAAACTCTGATTCAGGATATTTATAAACTCAAAATCATCTGAAATTTCACAAGTTATCATTCTAAATTTAATCGGTCTACAGCAACTTTTTCTTTGTTAACGAAGTCTAAGTTTAAAACTTGTGGCATATCAAGATTCAGATTATTTGATCATTTTGCTGATTTGCAAACTTCACTCAATAAAGCTGCTCCGCTGAGAAAAAAAGTATTGGTAAATCAATCAGGAGACTGGCTCCTTGGTTCAATTCCGAGTTACTTACTTTAAAACAGACATCTAGAAGGCTGTAAAGAAAATGGCGCTCCACTAACGTTGAAGAATTTTAATTATCCTGGAGCGATAGCCTGCTAACGTACAAACAAAGTGTTCCATAAAGCTAGAACTTTCTATTATTTATCTTTAATTGATGAGAATAAAAATAACTAGGTTTCTGTTCAGTACCATAGATATAAAATCCCATCTCTGTTGAACCATGTATCCCTACAACTATGAGCAGTGATGACTTCATGAGATTCTTTATAAAAAAAAAAATTCAATTAGGGAAAATTTTCAAACCATCCTTCTTACTATCGCCTCTGGTTCTGTCAGATGAAGGAACTTTAAAAATGTCACTAGAACCTGATTTATGTTTGAACAGTTTTTGTCCTGTTGAGCTCTCTGAATTGTCAAAAATAATAACCTCATCCAAACCATCCACGTCTGCTAGATCCCATCCCAACAAGGCTATTTAAAGAGGTATTTCCCTTAATTAATGTCCACATTTTGGATCTGCTTAATTTATCTCTAATGAATAGCTACGTACCACAGCATTTTAAGATTGATGTAATTAAACCTTTACTTAAGAAACATAACCGTGACTCAGGAATATTAGCCAATTATAAACCTTTATCTAATCTAACTTTCATCTAAAAAAATTCTAGAGAAAATAGTTGGAGGTCAGTTGTGTGAACATCTGCAAAAAATAATCTGTTTGAAGAGTTTCAGTCAGGGTTTAGAGCTCATCATAGCACAGAAACAGCACTGGTGAAAGTTACTAATGATATTCTCATGGCCTCTGACAATAGACAGGTGTCTACACTGGTCCTGTTAGACCTCAGTGCTGCATTTGATACAGTTGATCACAATATTCTACTATAGAATATTCTATATGATACTGGAAGTACAGAAATGGCCTTAGGGCTGAAACGATTGCTCGAATCATTCGAGGACCTCAATTACAAAAAATCCTCGAGGCAAATTTATCTGTCTCGAAGGTTTGTTAAACTATTCAGAGCACTGTGGTCTAGCCAGAAGTTTTTTGTGTTACACAACGCTAGCACTTCCGCTAACGCGTATGTGCTAAATTTGTAGCTATGGAGGGAACGGAGACCGTCTAGAAGAAGAGCCCCGAAAACAACAAAAACTGTCAAAAGTTTGTGAACATGTTAGGCTAAACAAAAAAAGACAACACAGCTCAATGCTTCCACTGCAAAACAGAACTGGAGTAACCACAACAGCACGTCGTCGATGTTGCAGCGTCTGAAGAGAAAACACCCGCTGTACGCATCAAACTCGTCCACAGCTGTAACAGGTATCATGTTCTCTCTTTGAAAAATATGTGAACCCAAATGTGTGATAATCTGTCATGTTATAGATGTAAAATGAGGCTTATTTTTACTAACGTTAAATCTACTGACTAATCATAGTGGCTACCTGGCAGGGTCTGTATGTTGTGTGAGGAAAAAAAAAACTCTGCAGGACTTGATGCAAGTTTGTTAACGATAAAAGCAGCAACAGACCGATGCATTTATTTATTGCTGTACTTCCATCCTGAATTACCGGTAAATTAAATATTTAGGGTGAATATTTCAAGTGTAAATGTATTTACACGAGTTAGTAGGATTTTTTCTTCTTCTTGCTACTGCTGTTTATGACAAACTGGGATTAATCTGCATTTATTACTAATGTCATATTTGTTTATAGCTAAGCAATCGAGACTAAATAATAATATAGTCTGCAGAACGCAATGTACAAACTCAAACTTTGACATGATCTATCTATCTTACTCAGTTTCTAACAAAGATTCTATTCAGTTTTCCAATCCATAAAATTATTTTACAGCATTTAAATTTTTATGTGACGGTTAAAAATAATTCAGTGACAGAGGGTTTTAATTAAAGCATCCTCAAACCTCACACAAATAAACGCTTAAAATGCAATATAGCTAAAATTAGAAACATCTTTTCTAAAAATGATGCAGAAAAACTGGTTCATGCATTTGTCA